GATGTTTAGAATTGCAATTGATCAGTTTCTTGATGGTATATGTGAATTCTGTGCGGATTGTTTCGATATTGCTTTAAAATGGTGGCTATTGGGACTCAGTCTCTAAGTGGTGGATAACGTTATGGCATTTGAAGTGAACAGTACTGATATCGAGTTCCAGAGTGAACATCAACTCTGGGATGCAGGTGCACTCAGTTGACGAGTCTCAAATAAGATGATACGCGTGTCCTGTATTCCACTCCCAGACACTAACCATCTTTGCTTACAACTACTGTTTTTACTTTCATACTGTATTTATAATGTCAAATAATTTTGAAAACATCCGTTTGGAATTATATTCCTTATTTAATAACTTATATCACATACTACTTGTAAGGATGGCTCGTTGGTAAACTCTAGGAAGCCTTAAGAAGCCCAGATAGAGTCGGACATATTCCATCCAATCACTGCTAGAGGAATATTTTAGAATGTCGACGTGTAACTTCCCCATTGGATGGATAAGATTGACCCCTATGTGCCTATTGGTTGACCGAAATGATGATTTACAATCAGCCAATAACTATAAATACATGAGATTTCTGTACTATATTTTGACACTGTTTTGGGGTATAAAGTTCCTACTTACTAGTCTTATATCTTCTCTCTTGCAACGTTGCGAGTTCGACCGTTCAAGTAGTCTAGTAGTACGCGGCATAGTAAGGATCAAAGCTCTAGATATAACATTACTTTATTTTATTATTCATTTCCATTATATTTATCAATGAGAGTATATTAATCTCAACCAATTACAAAATGTTTTCTATATTATTTTACTAGTTAATTACTTTCTTAATTTAGATCATACAATTTATTGTATAAGAGAAGTGAAATAGCATGAACTGTATTTATTTTATAGTACATTGATGATCTCTCGACCGTTGCTGCTAGCTTGACGTGGTGGTCGGGCTTGCCTATCGTCATGAAGCAATCGAGCTATGCTGGCTGGAACAATCGTTCCTCAAGGTCCTACCATGCCAGACAGGTCGGTTGAAGAGCGGTGAGACTAAAAGCAGCAATCCCAAGGTCCGAAGGTGAAGTCGTACTGCCGATTGTACAGGTGTGACAGCAGTAAGGTGTTTCCTTCAGACAACCAGCATGACAGCGATGCTGCCTTCCCACAAGGAGGGGTGGGGTTAGAAAAGGTCGACCCTAAAAATACACACCTCGCCTTATCCCACGGATTTCCGTCTCCGGCGGTAAGGTCCTTTGAAGAACGGAGCTAACACGTCAAAAATCCCCCACAAAAAAACCGTGCGTGACCGGCCTCAAGCAGTTGTCCCTTGGGCACTGCGGTCACGCTCCCAGGTCGTTCAGATTAACACTAATCCAACTTCTTTTTCAGGTCCCTCAAGAAATACCCTTCCAAGGTGTGGGCAGCCGGGAAGTGATAAATGCCCTCATACCCGTAACAGTACACGAGACCAAATTGGTCACTTTCAAATCCTTCCTACACCTCCTAACAACTCTCTTATCTCCACGACTAACCCTTCCCACGTCCTTTTATCACCTCGCACTGCTAGGGCAAACAATTTGTGTGCACGGAACGTTATTCCTGGTCTCCTGAAACCTCGCTCTAAACTACATGTAGGAACTTTTAATGTCCGAACATTGTGCCAAATAGGACAACAGGCTTCCTTAGCTAGGACTCTAGAATATTACACCATCGATGTGTGCTGCGTCTCCGAAACGCGCATACAAGATCCGAGTAGTGTCATTCATTTGACCTCACTATGTCATAATAAAGTTTCATCTCGATACACGCTTCGTGTATCTGGAAGCCCTGATGCTGCTTCCCGTGGCCTCGCTGGAGTAGGTATAGCATTAAGTCCTAGGGCAGAACTAGCTCTTTCAGACTGGATCCCAGTAGACAGTCGTCTATGCGCTGTCCGACTAAACGGATCAGTAAGGACTCGGAAAGATAGGGAAACTAGTCGTTGTCTCTTCGTCATCTCTGCCTACTCTCCCACTGACTGTAGCTCAGACGATATGAAAGATGAGTTCTACAGGAAACTTTCTGACATTCTCCGAGAAGCTAGGCGTTCTGATGTAGTAATAGTGGCTGGTGACTTTAATGCTCAAGTAGGTAAACTAAGTGAAAGGGAAAGACACCTGGGTGGATCTTATGGTGTCATGGCGGAATGAACAGATAATGGCGACTGTCTGTTGCAGCTGTGCTCAGATAACCGCCTATTTCTTGCAAATACTAACTTTAAGCATAAGGAAAAACATCTTTTGACATGGCGACCCCCGAATTCGTCCCAACGTTGGACCCAATTAGATCACATCGCTATCAGCCACCGATGGAGGGGCTCGATAGAAGACTGTCGCTCATACTGGAGCACATGTTTAAACTCAGATCATGCTCTAGTGCGAGCACGTATCTTTCTGTGTCTTACTGGACGTAGGAAAGACACTGCAGGAAAGCCTCTAAGGGTTCTACTTAATGATAAGCAAGCTAAGAATATATTTCAGGAACAACTAAAAAAACAGTTAGACAGACATGTAAGTTGTGTCCACCCCGAAGCAGCATGGAATGACATCCGAAAAGCTGTGGAGAGAGCAGTGATATCCGCTAGTAAGGTAAACCATAAGGTCAGGTAGAAACAATGGGTCTCGGCAGCATCTAAAACACTGATAGATGCTCGAAAACTCATCCCACCTGGCTCTGAACATAACGAAGAGCGGAGTCAGCTTAAACGAAGGCTAATAAGAAGCCTACGCAATGATCGTGAACAGTGGTGGGTAGCGAAAGCAAGAGAGATGGAAAAGGCAGCGGCAATAGGTAACAGCGGACAGCTGTTCAGACTAATTAAAGAAACCGGTATTAGGAACTTAACTATTAGCGAAACTATCTCAGATAAAGATGGGTATATCATTCATTCTCAATCCAGGAGATTGGATCGATGGGCAGAACACTTTAGGGATCAGTTCAACTGGCCTTCAGCCACACTTCAATTACCCACGATCCCCAGTCGTCCTGAATGGCAAATCGAGGTAAGTCCTCCAACTCTCTACGAGGTTGAAAAACCTATAGGAAATCCAAAGCGAGGGAGAGCAGCAGGCCCTGACAGGTTGACCCCTGAGATTTTTAAGGATGGTGGTTCAGTACTAACAACGAGATTGACTGAGGTCTTAGATAGAATCTGGGAACTGGACGTAATTCCATCTGAATGGTCCCAATCACTGATTGTGTCAGTATATAAGAAAGAACAAAAGTCCTCCTGTGACAATCACAAAGGGATCAGTTTGTCTAATATAGTGTCTAGAATATTAGCTTCAATAATACTTGGACGCCTAACCAAAACTTGTGAAGAGCAGACTAGAGAAAACCAGGCTGGTTTTCGACCTGGACGCGGTTGCATAGACCAGATATTCATTCTACGTCAGGTCCTAGAACAAAGACACACATTTAGACGTCCCACAATCGTAGTATTTCTTGACCTTAGGGCGGCGTTTGACTCTGTTGATCGTGAGGTTCTATGGCAGTGTTTGTCACCGAAAGGAGTACCAAAGAAGTACATTAACCTCATAAAGGCTCTCTACTCGAACACAACTGGTCGAGTTAGGGCCTATGGCGAACTGTCATCAGAATTGATTACCACAAGTGGCGTTCGTCAGGGCTGTCCACTTTCCCCATTCTTGTTTAACTTTGTCATTGACATACTTTTAGAGATAGCACTTTCATCATCTCAATCTCCTGGAGTTGAACTTTTACCAGGAGGCTCACTTGTTGACTTAGAATACGCCGACGACATAGTTTTATTCGGTGAACACGCTGGCAACATGCAGAGTATTCTGACCATCATAAGCGACAATGTAGGCATGTTCGGGATGCGATTCTCTCCCTCGGGGTACAAAATGTTACTTCAGGATTGGGTTGCAGCGACACCTGAACTAATGATAGGGGGTTAAGTAGTTGAGCGTGTTGACAGCTTCACTTATCTTGGGAGTCTCATCTGCCCTTGTGGTCTGGTGTGTTACAAAATCTCAGCACGGATACAGAAGGCTCGTCTAGCTTTCGCCAACTTGCGTCATTTATGGCGTAAGCGAGATATCCGTCTAGCAACAAAAGGACGGGTTTACTGTGAAACAGTTTGTTCCGTCCTACTTTATGGCAGTGAAACATGGCCGATAAGAGTAGAGGATACTCGAAGGCTACTAGTGTTCGATCATAGGTGTCTTCGAAGCATTGCTCGTATATCCTGGGGCCACCGGATAAGTAATGCAGATGTTAGGAAAAGGGTTCTAGGTAAGGATGGCAAATCGATTGATGAAGTAGTGAAACTTCACCAGTTGAGGTGGCTGGGACATGTGTTACGTATGCCCAACCACAGACTGCCCCGACGTGCAATGCTTTATGGTGTAGGAGCAGGTTGGAAGAAAGCTAGGGGCGGCCAGACCAAAACATGGCATAAATCCATGAAGTTATTGACAAGTGGACTGGGCCATGTTGGTAGGTGTAGACTACCTGTTTGGGATTCACGAGATGATAGCAACCGATGGTTAGAGACCTTGAATGACATGGCTCAAAATCGTTTGCAATGGCGAAGGTGCATGCACTCTTTGTGTTCTACCAAATTCTAATCTTCTGAATTCTTCTTATCCTTTTCTTTTTTCTCTTTCCAAATTTATTCCACTGGATTATACTTCTTCAATAGCATCTTCAAACCCTTATCTTTCACATAATACTTATACTCTTACTACTTCTACCAATATGGGATTTGAATCGACAACTTCATCTCCGTGCTAATGTGGTATGGCAACTCGAACTGATGTAAGTACGTACGAAGTTCTACGTTGTAACTGACTGACTGACATTGATGATCTACGTCCATTAAATTCATCATTTTTTTTCGCATTAAACATTAAGTCAGCTGTTTCTTTTCGTCTTTAAATCAATAATTTGGTTACAGTGCATAAAGTGCACTTTGTATATTATTTATATGTAATTGTGTTTTTGTGATCTATTTTATTTTGTCGTAAATTTTTATACATAAATATTATTACTTATAATAGACTTTATATAATGGATATAAAAATGAAGTTATTGATTCTAATTTTACTGATATCTTCAACAACAGCTGTAACGGCGCAATTTGGTGAAGAAAGGCAGGAAGAAACTAATAACAACGTTAGATCCCGATTCGATCAAACAGAAGGTAGAACAAATACAAATAGTAAGGGATTCGGAATTAGCGGAAGCAGTTCTGGACAGAAAGGTTTGGAGTCATCTTCGATGCGTGGTAGTTCTAGATCTCATTATAAACACAGAAAATATGGACATCTCAAAGCTAAAGGCCAATTCCGTTCACGTGGAATCGGTAGACACGGTATCGTGTCATCAGAATCTACATATTATGTAATTGAAGGCAAATTCGATAGATATGGTCGAAAGAGACCTACTAAGTCGAAATTCAAAACTCGTGGAAAAGAGAAGAAATATTCTAAAAAAATTGTTGATAATCAATTCGATATTAAAGGTGGTTTAATTGAAGAACGTAAATATAAACGAACTGGTGATTATCAAGCGAATGGTACTCATGCTTATATCCAAGTTGGAGCTGAACAACATGATTCTTCAAATGTAAAAACAGAAAATAGAGAAAGTAAACATTCACAAAAGAACAAGCAATTTGATCTTAATCTTAACAATAACGTAACCAATAAAAGTTTAAATTTACGACATCAAAAATAAAACATTTCAACAATTTTAGGTATATAATTTCTATTAGACTATAATAAACGTAATATCGATTTTCATGTTAATAACCTTTTGATATTATAATTTATTGATTCGTTTTGATCTTCACACATTATTGATAAATAATAAAATCTACTATTTCTACATTGCAAGCAATACATAGATCTTTTCAAAGAACGATATAATTAATTCCTAGAAATCTCTCATGACTAAAACAGAAAATACTTCGTCCTAAAAAACTACAACCAAATGTGTGTAAACAAGTGTATTTGAGAAAATGACTGGGATAAAACAGCATTTGAACCAACAATCTGTGGTATGATAATTTATAGGGTGGTGGAAAAATTTGTAGCTCAGAGAATAAAACTCCATCAAAAACTATAATTTATGAACGAAACAATCCGTTTTAGAATAACAGATAGTGGATGTTGGCGCAAATTTCATTTTTTAATTTGGCTAAATAGCGTTTTGACATTAGCGCTAATGCCGATTCCTGATGAAAACCAGAAATCTAATTACTAACACTGACCGTCAATTGTTAATGCTAGTTATTCACACTGGTTTACAATAATTTAGACTCAAAAAGTAGGTGGACATTCTCAAGGTCATTTTAGCGCCTCTCAAAATTTATCCATAAATTATAGTCTCATGATTGATTCTTCGAAATATTAGTTTATCTGATATAAAAATAAAAAAAAATTCTTTATCATATAGACTGTCAATAAATCCATGTTAACTAATCAACATATTATTGAAGACCAATTAATTAGTTTGTTTATTCAATAGAACATGTTCATTTCATCATATATGATGTACAGAATTAATGGTAGTTACTTGAACGAATTCAATCTTCTACTGAGTACATATTTTTCACCAATAAATATTTGTAATAAAGTTAAGTAAGACATTATTATCAAACTTTAATCTAATAATATCCAACAGTTATTCATTCACTTAGGAATAAAAGTAGGCCTTTCAAAATGAAGATTAGTGATCTATTTATAAAATATTTATTTAACAACAGACTTAAACACAGCACTGGCTATTATAGACGGAAATATATAAATATATATGATGTTAAAGAAATATAATATCTTGACTAGGTCTTACCAGGTTTTGTTAATAACAGGAATCAATAGAAACGGTAAATGTACGAAGGCTGAGTACATTTAATCGCAATCGACAAAGTTGATGAGACATCAATCAAGCCAATCAATAGATGAAAGATGTCTGATGATTTGTGCTAAATAATAGCTAACTTTCTACTCATAAATATTTATTTGACTTAATGGCTATAAATACATATATTTTTCACTTGTCATATCAATTTGGAAGTTAGATTCAATGCTAATTGATCCCTTATAGATGAAAAGTAATAGAATGTGATGCATAAACACCATAAAATCTGCATAAACATATCTAAACATCGACGAAAACCTATATGTTAAGTACTTCGTGATCACCAACATCTTCAAAATACTATTATTGACAAACGTTACTAGAAATACTGTGCACTCCTGATATACCAAACATTCATTCTTTCGATGTTTAAATTGACTAGATGAAATTATACATTCCTCATTTTCATCCCATTATCTATAGTTCAATTTAAACCAACCAGTATTTTTATTGATTTTGTATTGTTTATTTGAATCCTCCCATTGATGTTTAGAATTGCAATTGATCAGTTTCTTGATGGTATATGTGAATTCTGTGCGGATTGTTTCGATATTGCTTTAAAATGGTGGCTATTGGGACTCAGTCTCTAAGTGGTGGATAACGTTATGGCATTTGAAGTGAACAGTACTGATATCGAGTTCCAGAGTGAACATCAACTCTGGGATGCAGGTGCACTCAGTTGACGAGTCTCAAATAAGATGATACGCGTGTCCTGTATTCCACTCCCAGACACTAACCATCTTTGCTTACAACTACTGTTTTTACTTTCATACTGTATTTATAATGTCAAATAATTTTGAAAACATCCGTTTGGAATTATATTCCTTATTTAATAACTTATATCACATACTACTTGTAAGGATGGCTCGTTGGTAAACTCTAGGAAGCCTTAAGAAGCCCAGATAGAGTCGGACATATTCCATCCAATCACTGCTAGAGGAATATTTTAGAATGTCGACGTGTAACTTCCCCATTGGATGGATAAGATTGACCCCTATGTGCCTATTGGTTGACCGAAATGATGATTTACAATCAGCCAATAACTATAAATACATGAGATTTCTGTACTATATTTTGACACTGTTTTGGGGTATAAAGTTCCTACTTACTAGTCTTATATCTTCTCTCTTGCAACGTTGCGAGTTCGACCGTTCAAGTAGTCTAGTAGTACGCGGCATAGTAAGGATCAAAGCTCTAGATATAACATTACTTTATTTTATTATTCATTTCCATTATATTTATCAATGAGAGTATATTAATCTCAACCAATTACAAAATGTTTTCTATATTATTTTACTAGTTAATTACTTTCTTAATTTAGATCATACAATTTATTGTATAAGAGAAGTGAAATAGCATGAACTGTATTTATTTTATAGTACATTGATGATCTCTCGACCGTTGCTGCTAGCTTGACGTGGTGGTCGGGCTTGCCTATCGTCATGAAGCAATCGAGCTATGCTGGCTGGAACAATCGTTCCTCAAGGTCCTACCATGCCAGACAGGTCGGTTGAAGAGCGGTGAGACTAAAAGCAGCAATCCCAAGGTCCGAAGGTGAAGTCGTACTGCCGATTGTACAGGTGTGACAGCAGTAAGGTGTTTCCTTCAGACAACCAGCATGACAGCGATGCTGCCTTCCCACAAGGAGGGGTGGGGTTAGAAAAGGTCGACCCTAAAAATACACACCTCGCCTTATCCCACGGATTTCCGTCTCCGGCGGTAAGGTCCTTTGAAGAACGGAGCTAACACGTCAAAAATCCCCCACAAAAAAACCGTGCGTGACCGGCCTCAAGCAGTTGTCCCTTGGGCACTGCGGTCACGCTCCCAGGTCGTTCAGATTAACACTAATCCAACTTCTTTTTCAGGTCCCTCAAGAAATACCCTTCCAAGGTGTGGGCAGCCGGGAAGTGATAAATGCCCTCATACCCGTAACAGTACACGAGACCAAATTGGTCACTTTCAAATCCTTCCTACACCTCCTAACAACTCTCTTATCTCCACGACTAACCCTTCCCACGTCCTTTTATCACCTCGCACTGCTAGGGCAAACAATTTGTGTGCACGGAACGTTATTCCTGGTCTCCTGAAACCTCGCTCTAAACTACATGTAGGAACTTTTAATGTCCGAACATTGTGCCAAATAGGACAACAGGCTTCCTTAGCTAGGACTCTAGAATATTACACCATCGATGTGTGCTGCGTCTCCGAAACGCGCATACAAGATCCGAGTAGTGTCATTCATTTGACCTCACTATGTCATAATAAAGTTTCATCTCGATACACGCTTCGTGTATCTGGAAGCCCTGATGCTGCTTCCCGTGGCCTCGCTGGAGTAGGTATAGCATTAAGTCCTAGGGCAGAACTAGCTCTTTCAGACTGGATCCCAGTAGACAGTCGTCTATGCGCTGTCCGACTAAACGGATCAGTAAGGACTCGGAAAGATAGGGAAACTAGTCGTTGTCTCTTCGTCATCTCTGCCTACTCTCCCACTGACTGTAGCTCAGACGATATGAAAGATGAGTTCTACAGGAAACTTTCTGACATTCTCCGAGAAGCTAGGCGTTCTGATGTAGTAATAGTGGCTGGTGACTTTAATGCTCAAGTAGGTAAACTAAGTGAAAGGGAAAGACACCTGGGTGGATCTTATGGTGTCATGGCGGAAAGAACAGATAATGGCGACTGTCTGTTGCAGCTGTGCTCAGATAACCGCCTATTTCTTGCAAATACTAACTTTAAGCATAAGGAAAAACATCTTTTGACATGGCGACCCCCGAATTCGTCCCAACGTTGGACCCAATTAGATCACATCGCTATCAGCCACCGATGGAGGGGCTCGATAGAAGACTGTCGCTCATACTGGAGCACATGTTTAAACTCAGATCATGCTCTAGTGCGAGCACGTATCTTTCTGTGTCTTACTGGACGTAGGAAAGACACTGCAGGAAAGCCTCTAAGGGTTCTACTTAATGATAAGCAAGCTAAGAATATATTTCAGGAACAACTAAAAAAACAGTTAGACAGACATGTAAGTTGTGTCCACCCCGAAGCAGCATGGAATGACATCCGAAAAGCTGTGGAGAGAGCAGTGATATCCGCTAGTAAGGTAAACCATAAGGTCAGGTAGAAACAATGGGTCTCGGCAGCATCTAAAACACTGATAGATGCTCGAAAACTCATCCCACCTGGCTCTGAACATAACGAAGAGCGGAGTCAGCTTAAACGAAGGCTAATAAGAAGCCTACGCAATGATCGTGAACAGTGGTGGGTAGCGAAAGCAAGAGAGATGGAAAAGGCAGCGGCAATAGGTAACAGCGGACAGCTGTTCAGACTAATTAAAGAAACCGGTATTAGGAACTTAACTATTAGCGAAACTATCTCAGATAAAGATGGGTATATGTGGTAATTAGAAGTATTTGAATTGTAGTATAAACTAGTAATCCCAGGAATAACGCAATTTATTCAAGAAGTACAAGAGGAGCACAAACGAATGTATTGTATTTGGAATTCAAAATTACAACAGTCATCAATACAAACAAGTCATTGATTTATTTAAACATCACACCCGCCACAGCTCGAATTGAAGTGTAAGTGTCTGTCATCGATTGTTTGTTTACTTCTTAAGTTCATCTTACATCTGTCCGATGGTGTATTGAATGTACACTCTGTATTATCTAGAATGCACTCATTAGTATTAAAATTAACAACGGAAATTGGAACAGACTCACCTGGGTTCTAGAATTGTATACAATCAGCATGTCGGTTGTGTAGTGAAACCATTGATATTTAGAATTTGCATCATATACTTTCCAACAGTATCCTCCCCCACGAAATAATGTTGGGTCCTTACTTCGCAATGTTTTAGCTAATATAACATTTCCAACTTGCAGTATCTTCTCAAATCTCACGCATCGACTACTGTATGTGAGTATTTGGAGATAAACACTGATATATAATTTGAGGTATTCCATCATGTGACTTTGACTTGAATAAAAATTATGATACATATTCTTTTTGTTATTCATATTAGAATACACAAATGGATATGCATTGATATATGTAATTAACACATGTGATTCAACTAGCCTTGATTTACCTGCGAAACAATCGGATAGAAAACATTCATCTGCCTCATATTCATTAGGATAATCTTGGACTTGATTTGGATTCCCTACCTGTGTAAACTTCACTTCTGGGCAAACTGCTTCTCTGATTATTTCGGTAAATTTTGCTATCCCCTCTGATTCATCATACCCCTGACTAGGGATTCTATTCAACATACATTGTTCGTAAGAGTATCCAACATCTGGCACAATAACATCAGAAATATGACTAGAATTCAACTCATTTGGAACATATTTTTCACATTCATTAGGAATATCATTAGAGATAAATTGATTGTGAGGACCACTGACACTTGATATGATATCAGAATTCGATTTCTCTGAAATATTTTCCTCAAATTGATTAAGAGTTTCATTAGAGAATAATGGATCATTAGAAAAATCAGCATCTACTAAAAGTGAATCCGGTTTTTGATCATGATTCGACTCATTCAACATTTTATTCTCAGAGTTGTAGGAAATTTCATCAGAAGTATGTGAATCATTATGACAAACCATATTTGGTACAATAACATGAGAAATCTGATCAGTTGGTTGGTTGGGAATTTTCGTCTCGCAATGACTCTGGGTTTCATTCAAATCTGAACTGTTATATAACGTTATACCACTTCTAGATAAAGATAACTGATCATTAGAAACATCCATCTTAGCATTACTTACAGCAAAATGAAGCATGGTATTACAAACTGACTGAATGTGTCCAGCTTCACCACAGTTAAAGCATTTAGCATTACGAAATGCACATGAATTACGAGAATGAAATTTGCCACAAGATAAGAATTTACCAAAATTACTCTCACCTCTGTTGCTTCCTTGGCAGTCCCTTGTTGAATCATCTTTCATATTTTCACGAGAATAAAAATCACGATTAAACGAACGCAAATTTGGTCGACCCTGAGATTGTATTTCATCATGACGACTAAGCAAAGTATTAGAAATTTTCATCGATTGAATATCAAGTTCATTCACTGGTTCGTAGTTAATACATGCAGTTCTAGCATCTTGAAAAGAACAGTTCGGCATTTTTAACAGCTCCTTTTCCAGACCTGATATGTTAATTCCTGCAATTAATCGATCACTCAGATGTACATGAAGTTTATCACCAAAATTGCATTTGGCAGCTTGTCTTTGCAATTCAAGGATGAAGTCTTTAACCTTCTGGTAATTCTGACGAATCATCTTATGAAATTTCGCTCTCTCACGACATTCAAAACTGGTGCACTTCACATGATTTAATAGTAATTCCTTGAGAGTTGTATATGGGAGTGAAATCGGCTTATCTGGATATGTCAAGGTTTTTAGTAAACTGTAGGCTTCTTGACCGATGAATGTAGGAAAATGTGCCACAATATTAAAATCTTCATCATCTTCCTTGGTCAAAGCCCAGATTTCGAACCTCTCCATGTACTCCTCAAAAGCATTAAAATCTGAATTTATATCCAACCGTTCCATCACAGGCTCAATCGCGACGCCAATGTGGTAATTAGAAGTATTTGAATTGTAGTATAAACTAGTAATCCCAGGAATAACGCAATTTATTCAAGAAGTACAAGAGGAGCACAAACGAATGTATTGTATTTGGAATTCAAAATTACAACAGTCATCAATACAAACAAGTCATTGATTTATTTAAACATCACAGTATATCATTCATTCTCAATCCAGGAGATTGGATCGATGGGCAGAACACTTTAGGGATCAGTTCAACTGGCCTTCAGCCACACTTCAATTACCCACGATCCCCAGTCGTCCTGAATGGCAAATCGAGGTAAGTCCTCCAACTCTCTACGAGGTTGAAAAACCTATAGGAAATCCAAAGCGAGGGAGAGCAGCAGGCCCTGACAGGTTGACCCCTGAGATTTTTAAGGATGGTGGTTCAGTACTAACAACGAGATTGACTGAGGTCTTAGATAGAATCTGGGAACTGGACGTAATTCCATCTGAATGGTCCCAATCACTGATTGTGTCAGTATATAAGAAAGAACAAAAGTCCTCCTGTGACAATCACAAAGGGATCAGTTTGTCTAATATAGTGTCTAGAATATTAGCTTCAATAATACTTGGACGCCTAACCAAAACTTGTGAAGAGCAGACTAGAGAAAACCAGGCTGGTTTTCGACCTGGACGCGGTTGCATAGACCAGATATTCATTCTACGTCAGGTCCTAGAACAAAGACACACATTTAGACGTCCCACAATCGTAGTATTTCTTGACCTTAGGGCGGCGTTTGACTCTGTTGATCGTGAGGTTCTATGGCAGTGTTTGTCACCGAAAGGAGTACCAAAGAAGTACATTAACCTCATAAAGGCTCTCTACTCGAACACAACTGGTCGAGTTAGGGCCTATGGCGAACTGTCATCAGAATTGATTACCACAAGTGGCGTTCGTCAGGGCTGTCCACTTTCCCCATTCTTGTTTAACTTTGTCATTGACATACTTTTAGAGATAGCACTTTCATCATCTCAATCTCCTGGAGTTGAACTTTTACCAGGAGGCTCACTTGTTGACTTAGAATACGCCGACGACATAGTTTTATTCGGTGAACACGCTGGCAACATGCAGAGTATTCTGACCATCATAAGCGACAATGTAGGCATGTTCGGGATGCGATTCTCTCCCTCGGGGTACAAAATGTTACTTCAGGATTGGGTTGCAGCGACACCTGAACTAATGATAGGGGGTTAAGTAGTTGAGCGTGTTGACAGCTTCACTTATCTTGGGAGTCTCATCTGCCCTTGTGGTCTGGTGTGTTACAAAATCTCAGCACGGATACAGAAGGCTCGTCTAGCTTTCGCCAACTTGCGTCATTTATGGCGTAAGCGAGATATCCGTCTAGCAACAAAAGGACGGGTTTACTGTGAAACAGTTTGTTCCGTCCTACTTTATGGCAGTGAAACATGGCCGATAAGAGTAGAGGATACTCGAAGGCTACTAGTGTTCGATCATAGGTGTCTTCGAAGCATTGCTCGTATATCCTGGGGCCACCGGATAAGTAATGCAGATGTTAGGAAAAGGGTTCTAGGTAAGGATGGCAAATCGATTGATGAAGTAGTGAAACTTCACCAGTTGAGGTGGCTGGGACATGTGTTACGTATGCCCAACCACAGACTGCCCCGACGTGCAATGCTTTATGGTGTAGGAGCAGGTTGGAAGAAAGCTAGGGGCGGCCAGACCAAAACATGGCATAAATCCATGAAGTTATTGACAAGTGGACTGGGCCGTGTTGGTAGGTGTAGACTACCTGTTTGGGATTCACGAGATGATAGCAACCGATGGTTAGAGACCTTGAATGACATGGCTCAAAATCGTTTGCAATGGCGAAGGTGCATGCACTCTTTGTGTTCTACCAAATTCTAATCTTCTGAATTCTTCTTATCCTTTTCTTTTTTCTCTTTCCAAATTTATTCCACTGGATTATACTTCTTCAATAGCATCTTCAAACCCTTATCTTTCACATAATACTTATACTCTTACTACTTCTACCAATATGGGATTTGAATCGACAACTTCATCTCCGTGCTAATGTGGTATGGCAACTCGAACTGATGTAAGTACGTACGAAGTTCTACGTTGTAACTGACTGACTGACATTGATGATCTACGTCCATTAAATTCATCATTTTTTTTCGCATTAAACATTAAGTCAGCTGTTTCTTTTCGTCTTTAAATCAATAATTTGGTTACAGTGCATAAAGTGCACTTTGTATATTATTTATATGTAATTGTGTTTTTGTGATCTATTTTATTTTGTCGTAAATTTTTATACATAAATATTATTACTTATAATAGACTTTATATAATGGATATAAAAATGAAGTTATTGATTCTAATTTTACTGATATCTTCAACAACAGCTGTAACGGCGCAATTTGGTGAAGAAAGGCAGGAAGAAACTAATAACAACGTTAGATCCCGATTCGATCAAACAGAAGGTAGAACAAATACAAATAGTAAGGGATTCGGAATTAGCGGAAGCAGTTCTGGACAGAAAGGTTTGGAGTCATCTTCGATGCGTGGTAGTTCTAGATCTCATTATAAACACAGAAAATATGGACATCTCAAAGCTAAAGGCCAATTCCGTTCACGTGGAATCGGTAGACACGGTATCGTGTCATCAGAATCTACATATTATGTAATTGAAGGCAAATTCGATAGATATGGTCGAAAGAGACCTACTAAGTCGAAATTCAAAACTCGTGGAAAAGAGAAGAAATATTCTAAAAAAATTGTTGATAATCAATTCGATATTAAAGGTGGTTTAATTGAAGAACGTAAATATAAACGAACTGGTGATTATCAAGCGAATGGTACTCATGCTTATATCCAAGTTGGAGCTGAACAACATGATTCTTCAAATGTAAAAACAGAAAATAGAGAAAGTAAACATTCACAAAAGAACAAGCAATTTGATCTTAATCTTAACAATAACGTAACCAATAAAAGTTTAAATTTACGACATCAAAAATAAAACATTTCAACAATTTTAGGTATATAATTTCTATTAGACTATAATAAACGTAATATCGATTTTCATGTTAATAACCTTTTGATATTATAATTTATTGATTCGTTTTGATCTTCACACATTATTGATAAATAATAAAATCTACTATTTCTACATTGCAAGCAATACATAGATCTTTTCAAAGAACGATATAATTAATTCCTAGAAATCTCTCATGACTAAGATAAATCAAACTAAAAATAAAGTGATGAGTTAGTTGTTCTGTGTCTACTGATTTTCAGTGATTATTTAACTGACATCGATTCGTGATCTCCATAATAAACTGTTGTTATTGAACATGAGCATTTGTATTCGTATTGAACCAATTCAAGGCCATTTTTTAAAATGTAATCCTACTTTCGCATAACTGATGTACTGTATTGTTTATGAACTAGAACTACAAGAAATTTTATCTACCTGTTAGTTTCATTATGGTTTTATAATAATTTGCAATTAGTATTTTTTAGTTCAGAAACACCACTGTTGTTACGAAAACTAAGTCAAACTGGTATTAAATATTAAATGTAAGAATACAACATGACAACGTCACTACTGATTTTACTCACTACCAATTACTATGAGAAATTATAAAGTTGTTTTGTACATTTGAATTACGTTACAATTGATTTGTCATTGAACAGTGATCAATATCATATATATCAAGTCCTTTTTAGTATTGACTCACTCAGGTCTTTGCTCCCTGCATTCAAAGTTAAGGTCTTATCACTTTAACAACATGCGAAAAACTACACATATCAACAAACTTCAGTAGATCATCAAGTCCCCAATGCTACTTCACTCTTATGTCAAAATGTGGAGAGAAGTAGAAAAGAATTAGAAATTACGTGCATTCTAGACCGACCTCAGTGTCTTAATAATTTAGTCTAGGTTGTGACTAACACCTACTAATATACGTAGATGCATTTTTTAGAGAATTATATAGGTTTTTCAAACGCACACAATCATATACTTATTTCAAAATACAGGATATGATCAGCCATGTGAATGTCGAATATATCAGTTCGTTTCTATTGGTTATTTTAAGTCCTGATATGTGGTTAATTCGAAACCACTAATTGAATTGTTTTCTACCATCCCTTTTTTGCGTATATAACCGTTTGTTTATCAATTAATCTTATTCTATAAACCTTCTGGCCTATTAATATTTGATCCAATATGATTTGTCGACTTATATTTTCAATATATTTTCGTATCTCACAATCATCGACTTCTAATTTTATCAGCTTTGAGATCAATGTGTCTAAAAAGATTAGCATAGTAGCATTGAAAAATGCTGTATACTCGTTACTGTCTTTTAATATATTTAGCATAATTTTCAATTTATTTTATTACACTTTAATTCCTGATTATTACAATTTGAATAAAATTTTTAGTCATCCTGACAATAGTGTAGCAGAAGGAATAATCTGAAAAAACCTCCAGCATTTTAATGAATGGTATTATCCTTTTTCTTAATCTTTCTCCTTTTTCTGCATTATTTCTTACCTAGGATTCATGTAACTGTGGATCTAGGTTTTTTTATCTTTTTTTGACTGGGCCTTTTTTATTTGATTTTGTTAAGATTTACCTCTCTGTGGTATCTGAATTAATTGATAATTCATTTGCAAATTATTTCTGTTGTATCCCGAAGAGAATTATGAATGTTAACTTTTGAGGACTAATTATTAGCCAATATAATATGTATTTTTCCTATTGTAATTAACCGAATCATATTCGTTTCCTCTTATCACTAACTTTATTTTGACCTTTGAACTATTATTATACGATCCTTCAGTTATCATCAGTTTATTGATTGCTATTCACAGCCACATTCGGCTAAATATTGTACAAATGTTATTATCTATTTTATGAGTCGATATGGTCTGTTTGGTTGGTATATAAACTCAGTATGTTTGAAATACAAGCATTCATACCACAGAGGCTGTTATTGGTGTTTTGGACTTAACTGGCTGGACTAAGCAGATCGCAGGGCCGATACGTACTCTAGACTGCTCGTACGGTTTCGTGTGTCACTGTTCCAAGCGATAATTCGCTACTCCCTGATTGGCGGTCTTATCGCGTCACACATCAACCAGGCATCCACTCGTTCCACAAGACATAACAATTCCACACTTGATTCGAGTTCCAGATACAACACGTTCGATTGGGCTCTTGGAGTTCTCTTCGACTTCAACACTAGTTCATACATGACTACCTGAGGACTAATTGGATAGTTATACGAGTTACTAGTTAACATATCAGCTTAACTACTTTTAACTGTCACGCTTCACTGAATTTTGTTTTTTCATGACACTAGGACATTGATAATAAGGTCGCGTACAACTGATTTTAATGTTATAATGTGAAGCGACCTATCTTTGTTGTTCTTGAACTTTCAACTGGATATGATTATTTAAATCCTTGGAGATATGTATTTGATCCCACTTTTTAGGAATACTCTTATTATTCTTAGATACATAATGGTCTATTAATTAACTATCATTTTTTCCATATATTACGCTATTTTGTGCTTTATAAACATTTGACTGTCCAGCATACAGGCTTTACCATTGAGTCATTTTGTACTTTGATATAATTTGTTTTCTTTGTCAAACTGAGACCAATTAAATTAAGCACAAAAATTGATATAATTTCATGAGAGTTACTACGAAAAAGCTTTGTACACTATGCGAAAGAAAGTAGTTCGGCGTATTCGTAAGAAGTTTGTTCTTTTGAATTGCCTGTTGCGTTCAGACCAAATATTGAAATTTCATTGGTTACAATTGGCGTTATTTCAATTTTAATAAAACTCATAAAATTGTCGAATTCTGGTGCTGATTCAATGCAACTACTATTTCAGTTCATTCTTGTGTCCATTCTTTTCCATTCCACCTTCCGTCCGTTTATTATTGACATACAAGTCAATCACTTCAATTATTTAAGTATGCATTCCATAAGATTAGTATTTTCGAATTCTCATTTCAATCCATTTGTTATAGAACATCGTGATCTGTATGCGCAATAGGCACATTTCAAACAATCAGAAGGTTTTGTCTAGTTATGAAAAAACAGTTATTAGAAAAGTGATAAAATAAAAAATCTATAAGGAGTACTGAAATAAATAATAAGACTTTTACGTGAATTATTTCTTAATATGTAGGGAAAAAAGGTTGAAATCAAGATATAGGGTTAGTATATAAGATTAGGTTTGATGTTAGGAATTAGATTAGGGTTTTTCTCATGTACCAATGATACCAGCTTTGATTTAAGCGTTAAGTTTACAAAGTTTAACCATGTGAATAAATGCATTTAGCGCAGTTGTTCTACACTAAAAATAGGTTACTTATGTTGAGTTTACTCAACACCATGTAAGTGGTATCGACTTTTTACTCATTTCTAAAACATACACAACAGTGTAGAGCTCTGATGGAGGGCTAATTGAAAAGAAACATTTCTTCGCTCAACTTGTCTTTTTATTATCTCAATGGGAATATTTCTTGAATTGAAAACTTCACATTTTTATCCCAAGAATAACTCAAATCTACTCTTAGTATTTAGTTTCGTCATGTTTATCAATATTTGTAGTGTGGATTGAAAGAAAAAAGACATCTAAGTTCGATTTTCTTCTCAAAGATTACCCATATTCTTGAAATTTTATGTGAACTCAAGCACATTTTAAATGATCCATAGATCTGACTCAAATTTGATTGTATAAATGATGTTAAAAAATACACATCATCAACACTCGTATATAATTGTTAACTAAATTTGAGTTGGTAGCTGACGGAATAAAATAGAAACAAATAGAGAGAAGAAATCACTTTTCACTTAGCTTTTCCTCATGGCTCCACACTAATGATTGAATGTATGATCTGCAACAATGTCTCTGCCAAACAGGAGGTTGAAGGGTATTGTTCTGAGGACGCCGCTGCGGACCTAGAGTTGAGGTGCTGGTTGGGGCAGTCTGGTGCAGAAAGGTAACGTCAAGTGGGGTGTTCTGGTGGGGTAGCATTGGATGTAGCAGATTCTGTCTGCGGAGAGGAGCGGTGGGACGTGCGGCTGATGGGTGGACATCCGATGTAGATGACTCAGCAGGCCGGTGGAGTACGGGTGTTGGACGTCCCAGGTGTCTGGTGGATGTCGGATGTTGATGTTCCAGCAGGTCGACGAAGCTATGGGAATCAGCGAGCCGCAGATTCAACATTTTCACGGAGAGCGCAACACAGACTGTGGTGAAAGAAGAACGTGGCACGGCGAGTGGAATCACCGCAAGAACTAATGCTTTAAAGGGGGAAACGAGTGTGGTGTGGGTTACTTATATCCATATAAGTAGTATATGGTGACGGTCAGGCACAGAATGTACTTTGGCAGAAGATCGATAAGGAAAGAATAGGAACGAAGCAAAATCGGTATGAAAATGCATGAACAATGAAATCAGAGAAGATAGACTGATATTTACAGAAGAAACAGTCAAGTTTGAATAATTGATTGTTACTTTGCAAATTAACTGTTTGCTGTATGGTTATCAGATTTTAGTGAGATAGTCTGTAATTTATGTTTGAATACATTGGATTGTTCCCACCCGTGTTCTCATTCACCACATAACTAACAGTAAACGAATATCAGTTTACACTTTCGTAAATGAATAACAATTTTAGCGAAACAATCCAGGGATGTTTATGATTTATCAATATTTATAGAAGGGGTTTTGTGGAGATTTAGTATTTATCATTGTTGAAAGAGTGAGTCAATTGAAGCTAGACCACCATGGAAAACCTGGAAACACTGGACGGCCGTTTCGTCCTATTATGGGACTCCTCAGCAGTGCGCATCCACGAACCTGCTCTCCCGAGCGAGATTCGAACCCAAGACCTACCAGTCTCGAGCCGAAGCCCTTAACCGATAGACCATTGAGCTGGCATCCAACGGTGTTAATGTCTAACTTCAACTGATCCACGAAGTTGAGCAACCATTCACCAATTGTCTTCAGTGAGTTCCTATCTCACAACAGACGTGGTTTTGAACTCCACTTCGTGGATGCACACTGCTGAGGAGTCCCATAATAGGACGAAACGGCCGTCCAGTGTTTCCAGGTTTTCCATGATGGTCTAGCTTCAATTGACTCACTCTTTCAACAATGATAAACATTTGCAAATAGTAATTCATAAGACAGTAGAGTATTTCGTTTCACTCTAAAAAGGTGTCAATAACAAACGAATTATTGTATTGTTGAGTACAGCGATGTATGGTCAATTAAATAGTTGTTGCGTAATTTCGCGAATACATCAACCTTAAGATTGTTTTGAGTTATACATCTTCTATTCCATTTTGTTGATCAGTATATACAAAAGTTATTTCCGTATGTGATAGTGTACATCAAATACTATGCTTGAGAAGTGTATTGTTCAGTTTATAAAGTATTT